TTTAATACAATCTAATGGTTGAGGGACCAAATTGATATTTAACCCACATCTATTGGAACTAGAACTTGAAGAATTTGTTGGTCTTTCCTTTTACACCTTTTTTTTTTTCTTCTATAAGTTAACACTACCCAGCCACCCAAACTGACTTATGCCGTGGAGTGGATTGCAACATCTATGCCATGATAGAGATATACTTAATTAGCCTATGAATTAGAGGCCCTTGTGATAAGAGAATTACAAATGAATTGCATACTATTGGTCTTTGATCAACATGTTCAATAATAATCTATTACATTGTATATAAAAATGAAAAGAGAACAAGTTTCATGTAGAAAATAAAGATTTCTTGTAAAATATGCTTCAATTAATAAAAGTCATGTTTTTGTAATTATTTTTTAAAAAGAATAATAAAAAAAACCCTTATTGTATATGCTTTTATGAATTCATGAGTTAAAAACTAAAAAGGAATTTGACATTTCGGGGATTTAATCCCCTAAACAATAAAATAAAATAAAATAAAATATTGAGGGACATCAACAATATTAATTAATAACCATTCGAGGGAGGATTACATTCTTCTAATAGTTAAAAATGGGAACAAGCCGGCATCCAAGGAACAACAAATTATATATCAAGGTATGAACTGAAAACAAGGAAAATTAGAAAAGGCAAGCATTAAAAGGGAAATTATACAGCTCCCACAGGATATAAATTCAGAAAGTATCAATTCTACATAATAAAAGCTTAAAATACTAATTTGGTGCCTCAGCTTTTGATTTGTGTTAAAATATCCCTAAACTTCAAAAGGTATCAAAATTATCCTTAAACTTTGATTTTTAATATCAAAACAATCCTTTTGTTAATAGAAGTGCCATGTGGCTTGTTATTTTGCCACAATTTAAATTTTAAGTAAGATAAAATGAAATTTAGAAGCAAAAAAATTAACTATATACTGTTATATAAGCTACCATCAATTGTTAAAAGAAAGAAAAAACAAAAAAAAATTGAAGCTTAGGAGTGGGCTGTCATGGATTTAGATCAATAAAGGAATAACAAAGAAAAAAATCGCAAGGTCCTATATATTTTCTGGGCCGAAGGCTAAGTGCTTAACTGCCTATCGTATATCTTGATGATGGCCCAAAAAATCACAAAGGCCCAGAGTTTAGGCTCAAAGGGTGAGAAAAGACCACAAAACCAACAGAATTCTTGAGAGTTTAAACTTTAATTAAAGCACACCCGTGACCAAACCTAACATCAGTGGGAGTCAAACGCAACACTTCGACTTCGGTTAGGACTTTGGAGTACTTCCGTTGGTATTTAAAGACTGTTTCGAATACGTATATGTAAAAAATAATAATAAAAAAATTAGTGTGCATTTATTTTAATTTAAAAAAATCAAAACTTTAATTTTATTTAAAATTTAAAATTTTAATTAATTTTTAAATTTAAATATTAAATTTTAATAAAATAAAATTTTAAATTTTAAATTAAACTTTAATTAAATAAAATAATAAAATTTAAAATTAATATTCTAAGTAAAAACTTAGAACTGATATGTGTTTTTTTCTATAATAAAAATAAGAAAAACTCAAATAACTCTTTTTATGAAATCAATGCCCCAATTTTAAAATAATTGATGTCGTACCATTATCTGTACCAATTTTACTCTTGAAACGGCATGTACTAGATATTAAAAATTTTCACTTACCGTTTTAGATTTATTAATATAAATATATATTTTTATAAATTAAATATTAAATATTAAATAGTTGAGGATGAAAATTATGTAAAATTTAAAGTAGAGGGAGTAAAGTTGGTATTTAACCTTTGCTAATTTGTGTTTCGAAAAAATCTTCCTTCCCCCTGCTCTGCTAGTCGCCGGAGCTGAGCTGAGAAACTGTTCTCGGATTTTTTTTCATTTTTGCTTTGTGAAAATTGTTTCTTTCCTTCCCTTCTTTTCTTTATTTATCTTTTTCTTTCTTTGTTTCATTTATTTTTGAAAAGATTTCTGCTAAATTTTCTAGCAACATTGAAGCAGATCCCTAGGCTGAAGACAGGATTAAAATTGCCATTACAGGGTAATTAAGATTAAGGCCCTAGCCCAAAACGACGTGGCTTTCGAAACCCTAAACCATTGTGAACAGAAAAAGAGTGAGAAAATGATGCAAATCAATAAAGTAGAAAGGATAGACCAATGAAGATCAATTCTAATCTGTAATCTCAACCAAAACTTGCAAATCGCTAAGCACAAAGAGTTTGTAGGGTCGCTACGCATCCATTATGTTATGTAAGAAAACGTGAGACTTGCTAGAAGATTAAAGAATGTACGAGGTTATTCAGATAATCGGCGTATTGGGAAAAAGCGTCCTTCATTGAGGAAGATGATGATGACTCCGTGCTTACTGTCCTAGCCCTCTTCGGCGATGGCGCCGCACCTTCAAGGGTTTGGGAGTAAAACAAAGGAATTCCTTTCTCTAGATTGAAGTAGAATAACATAGAGAAGATAACCAATTACTTGTTCATTTGAGTGAAAGGAGTTCGGTTCTAGTAAGGTTTAGTGTTCGAGCTCTACGAATGGAGAAACAGACGTTAAAAAAGTTTTTTTCTTAATAGGATCTAATGTGGATCCATTCCGAATTAATTGACACCCAATGTAATTATTGATACGAGAAGATTAATAAAAAAAAAAACATAAAAAAGATATGCAATTAAGATTAAGAAGGCCCTAGCCCAAAATGATGTTGTTTTGGGCTAGGGAATCCTTCTTCTTTTTTTTTTTTTTTTTAATTTGTGATTGAAATTTCAGTTAATACATCGGATTTTGATCAGATCACTCGAATTTTGACTAAAATGAATTTTTATATCATACCATTTCAGTCAATGTAAAAAATCGATACATATCGACTGTACCAATTAGTATGGTATGAAATTGATAATATTGCCCAATTCTCCTCTTCCAGCTCTCCATAGCTGCCCATATATTTGCTTCCGGCCATTAAGCCTATGTTTGGATACAAATTAATAAAGGAAAAGGAGGGAAAGGGAGAGGAAGGAAAGGGAGGAGAAGTGAAGAAAAAAAAAAGTTGATATTATTTTTGTTTAGGAGGGAAAATGATAATATTTTTATTTAATTAAATAATTTAATAAAAATAAAATAAAAAATAAAATTTTTAAATTTTATTAATTAAATAAATAATTAAAATAATAAATATATTTATTTTATAAAAAATTTAAAATAAAAATAAATTAAATAATATAATTTATCTCAATACTTTCAAATTAAAAAAATTAAAAACAAAAGATAAGAGGGGTTCGTCCCCTTTCATCTTCTTACCTTTTATTAAAATTTTTTATTCAAACTAAAAGAGGGCTTTCACCCCCCCTCTCTCTCCTCTGCTCCCTCTCCAACTTTCTCAATGCTGTAAAAGTACAAACCTCAAGGTATTTTTGCCCTCTGAATCTGTACGGGGCCTAGATGTGTTAAAGCTTTCTGGTTTAATAGTTAAAAATTGAAA